ATGAGGGAGTACCGATTCTCCCCACGCTCCAAGTTGTTTTATTAATTATTTCTCATCTCCAAACGGCTCCAAAATATCTCTAACGGCTATATTCGACTTCAAACACATTCCAAGCTATAAATACAACCTAAGGACACTTGAAGAAGCAAGAGAACAACTATCCAAGCAATCAAACACAAGAGAAGAGTTTTTCAATCTTATTTCATCTTTCTCTTGTAAATATTTTGTTCTTGTGAGCTTAATTCTTGTAAACACATACCTTAGAGAGGTTTTCTTGTTTACATTTCTTATCCTTTTGTAAAGGGGAAAGGTTCTAGCTAATCCCGTGTAAAAGCTAGGGAAAGGTTCTAGTTTAACCCGGAAAAACTAGGGAGTTTGTAAGGTTACTCTTTATCCTCAAAATAAAGAACAAATTAGCAAATTTGTTGGAAAATCCTTGGTGAGGAGCTAAGGTAGTGGACGTAGACTTTGGTTGAGAAAGTCGAACCACTATAAATCGCTGTGCAATTCTCTATCTTTCAATCTCCTTACTCCCTAAACACAAACTGTTCTGACCCCTCTTTGCAAACCGTTCCGGTTATCGATTCGAGCTTCCGAAAATCCTAACAAACCGCTATAAATCATTGTGAAAATTTTCCCATCTTTATACTCCTTACTCCCTAAACTTCAAAATGTCAATTCACCCCCTCTTGGCACATTTTCAATTGATCAATCGAGCTTCATCGAGCCTAACAAGATGTGATTGGTATATACATAAAATTTAGGATAAAATTGAAATATTTAAAAAGTTTTGGGACTAATTTAGAATGAAGACATAGTTTGGGGATAAAAATAAAATGTTCAAAAGTTTGAGGAATAATTAAAATGATAGTCATAGTTTCAGGATAAAATTGAAATGTTTAAAATGAGGGGCATAGATTAGGTACACATGATGTAATTAACTCAACATATTATTCAAGCATAGTTTTAAGATAATTCTGAATTAGGAAATGTCTTTAACAGTTTAAAATCTACAATTTTGATAAAAAAAACTCTTAAATCTCATATTATTTAAATATTAACTTTTTAAATATTTAAATATAATATTTTAAACATATGTTTATATAATATTGATTGAAAACAATGCTTATATAAACACATCATTTTCGGTTTGACTCATACTCATATTCATGTAAACATGTGTGTTTAACATGTACCATGAATATAATTTTTTTCTTCTTTGATTTTTTTTATTTTCTTTTATTTTTTACCATTCTTTTATAAATTCTTACAGTCGTACCATCAAGAAGCTGACGTTATTAAGGACGAAAATAAATTGGGTAGAATTAAAATTTTTGTCTACTTGAATCTGATTTGAGTATTATACGTATCACTCGACTCGGGTTCAAGGAGGTTTCACTAGATCTAACTTTTAAAGTAAGAAACTCAAATCTCTATTTCATCTTATAAGACATATATATATATATATATATATATATATATATATATATATATATATATATATATATATATATATATATATTAAAAGGTCATATGCCATGACAGGGTCGTGACAGGGTTTTCGGGGGTCCTGTACAAATTCTTATAAAGGGCCCCTATTTTCTAGATATATTCGATTTCGGGGCAACAATAGTGACGTTTTCTTGATAAACGCCGCGATAGATCCATCTATAAAGGCGTTTTATAAAAAAAACCGCAATAATAGTGGCGTTCTTTTTAAAAACGTCGCAATATGTCCATCTATAGTGGCGTTTATTGAAAAAATGCCACTATATATATACTTTTTTGGGGCCCTGTGCGGTCGCGCAGTTCGCGCCGCCCCAGCCACGGCCCTGTGCCATGATCTGAACAAGAGAGTCACCTGCCGGCTCCAGTAAAAGGTCATATGCATCATCTTCGTTGAATGCTTCAATCGCAGAGGAAAACAATTCCCAGAATTAAAGAGAAGAACTTTAGTTTATTAAAGTTGAAGAATTTATGTTAAATGATAATTTTAAAAAAGAAAAAGATTACGACCTCGAGCGAATTGCACTATATTTTAAGTTGATATAAGAAAACAGGTCGAATTTCATCACCGGTCCCTATACCATGCATAAGTTTTAACTTTGGTCCCTAAATTCTATGTTAATTGACTTTAGTCCATATATTCTATGTTAATTGACTTTAGTCCATATATATTATTTTCATCCGGGTGGAATATTTGATGAGTATGTTGAGCAGGTATGGGTTGAATGAGTTGAATGGACTAAGTTACACGGGGTAGGCGAAGGTGGTCGATGCCGTGGAGGAGTTGGCAAAAGGGGGAGGATGTTGGAGATGTCGAAACGAGGGAGTGGGGAGGAGAAAGAGGAAGTGCAATGGGAGGCATTACTTGACTCAGGGTTGATGGTGATGAAAAAGATGGGTCACGTATGAACTCATCCGAGTTTTGTCTTTTTTTTATCTTTTGGTGCGTTTTTATTTATTAATATATAGATAATATATAAAATATTAATTAATTAAATGACACATCATCACATCATCAGGAAACAGTAACAAAAAAGTTCAATGTATATAGTTCAGTGAGCAAATTGAAAATTTTGAAAGTACAGTGAGTGAAATAGAAGAGAGTAAAGTTAAGTGAGTAAGCCTGTAATTTACCCTTAAATTAAATTCAATTATGTATTCTTCATCATACAATGTTGAATACCTAATAAAGAAAACAAACTTAGATACCAAATTTAACCTTGGAATAAAGTTGAAGTACCAAAAAGTATATTAATCCAATTATTAAAAGAACTTTAAGATTATGATTGACCAACAATGTTCAACAATGATACATTAGCCAAGTTTCGTGATTAAGCATGTTTCCTCTTAACAACCGTGTCATATTATAACTATATCGCGAGTTGGTCGCGAGTTGGATAGTGTTGGACTTGTGCTCGTTAAAAAATTTTGCTGCTCGACTCGTTGCTCGTTAAACTCGTTAAAATTGTATTCGACTCGTGCTCATTAAAAAATTAATGCTCGACTCGACTCATTGCTCATTAAACTCACTAAAAAATTTACCTTTTTTTTAGTATTAGGGTTGGGTTTTTTTTGGTATTAAAATAATATTATATTATTTATTATAAAATAATAGATTAGTTAACTTATTATTTTTATTATTTATTAATAAATTAATAATTATTATTTAGATTTATTTTTTGAATGAAATAATTTTGAAGTAATTACTAAAAATATATTTTAAAAAATTAACGAGCTGCTCGCGAACTTATCGAATCGAGTTAGACTTTGTTCAGAACACTCGTTAAGGTCTCGAGTTAAGTTCAAGTTCGAGTTGAGCTATTACTGAGTTTTGGCCGAGTCGAGTTCGAGCTGCTCAACTCGTTAAACGCCCTAATTAAAACTAAACTTCAACGCAACCCAGAATCTTCCAACAAAGCATTTACATATTACTAAGGATGTATTTAAAATAGGCATAATAACAAAATTATCCCCAACGTTTGCACATATGGCCACTTTGCCCCTTCACCTTTTCTTTAACATTTTAGCACCCAGCGTTTTGTTTTGGAGCAAAATGTCCCCTGGGTAGATGGAAATCGTTAGTTGACTAACGATCAACGCTTCCTATTGATGTGACAGGTTCACGTGTAATGCCACATTATAAAAAATATTTTAAATATATTTTTATAAGTTTATATCTAATTAATTATAATTATAGTTTACTCTAAAAATAAGTTTTTGCTAAAATGACATCACGCATAGACTTACCACGTTTATATGAAACATTGACAATTAGTCAGCTAACAATTTTCATCCAACAAGGGGTATTTTGCTCAAAAATGAAACGTTGAGGCTTAAAATGCTCCAAAAAGGTATAGGAGACAAAGTGACTATTTATGCAATCGTTGAATGATAAATACGAATCGATTAAGATAGTTGGATATTCGTCAGTATATTAATAATTTTTTTTTCGAATTTTATTAATAATTCATTTAATTTTTAAATTAAACATTAGTTTAACAATTGTCAAACTAATTATTAACAAATTAGACTAAGAACAAGGAGATTAAATTATTGACCTAAACAATCATTATTTAGTGGCTAAGGATAAAGTAGATAGAGATAACTTTGTATTATGAGATGACTGCATTATTAAATAATTTTGAAGAACCAAACACCGTAATATATAGGATAAACTACGAGTTTAATATATAAACTATCAAATTTTAGATCGTTTTAGTATCTAAACTATCAGTTTATTTCAAAATCATACCTAATGTTTAGTTTTTATTTCATTTTAGTACCGTCGTTAAAAACTTAACATTTTTAGTACCTAAATTATAAGTTTTGGTCCGTTTTAGTACCTAAACTTTCAATTTGTTCAAAACTTGAAGTTAAATTTTGAACATGGTACTAAAATGAAACAAAAACTAAATTTTAGGTATGATTTTAAAAAAATGAAAGTTCAGGTACTAAACGGAACAAAAACTGATATTTTAGGTACTAAAAACATTATTTACCCTAATATATATATATATATATATATATAGGTAATTTCCTAGGGTACACAAATAATCCCCAACTATAGGATAATATTTTATTGAGTTTCCTGACTATTGAATGTTTTAAAATAGTCACCCGATTATTCATTATGGTCTAAATTCATCTTTTTCTGTTAATATTTTTACGATTGTCTAAGTTGAACGTTAACCTGCTGACTGAAATATGATAAAACTTAATCATATAATATTAAATGACTATTATATCTAGAATATATATTACTTCACCGATTCGTTAAATATAGGAATCACAAAAGAATATAAATATATTTCTTATTAATCAATTAAATTAAATTAATATCATATAATAGAATATAAATATATTTTTTATTAATCGATTAAATTAATATAATATAATATTTTTTTTTAATTTATTCTATTTATAATATCAAAATTCGAATGAATTAGAAAAAGATCACAAGTTAACCAAAAATATTTAATTATTTCTTTATTTAATTTCTTAAATCTCATAATCAAGTACTAACTTCTTCGTTCGACATCGATGAAAAACGATTCTCCGATCCAGAAAACGACGTCGTAGATGACCCGTTCTTCTTCCTCGGCGATTCGAGAGTTTTCCGGAGCAAATGTCTCACGGCGGAGATCAATTCCTCGGCGGGTTTCGCCGGCGGAGTCGAAGACTTGAACTGCTCACGGAATCTCATGTGCCGATCCATCGCTTCGTTGGTAGTAATATCCTCCTCCGATCTGACCGTCTCGTCGTTGACGGCCACCGAGCAAAGGCCGCAGAGCCACCGCCCTTCGAACTTCTCTCTCACGCTAGCAATGTAAGCAGGCGTGCACTCCTCCGTTAGCCCGCAACAATCGCACTTCACGAACTCAACTTCCGCCATTGGAGCACCTGCGCAGAACTCGAATTCAGCTCGAAATAATTAGAAATATTATAAAACAAAAGAAACCCAGAATTTGTCGTTGAGTTCGATTCAGACCCAGATGATGAATCTCTCGTTTATCTCTCTTTTTCCCACTCCCTTTCTTGGAATTTCACTTGATTTTCAGCAACGAGCATGGGAGGAAGAACCGTGAAACTCATATACATTTCAGAGCCTGATTGGCTCTCTTTCTCTCTCTTTTTCCCGAGATTTTCTTTGATCCAAAGAGCAAAATCTGATCCAAAGTGCAAAATCTAAGCGAGGAAGAAGAAGAAGAAGATTTGCATCGTTCCTTGAATGAGTTTTGGTGTGAAAGAAGAGATTTAGATTCGTATATATAAAGGAAAAAAGAGAGATAAAGGCCCCAATCATTAGCCGATTGAGCCACTGTAATTACTCTCCACGTCACCCATTTTTCACTGCCTTTTCATCGAAATATTCATAATAAAGATAAATTACTATTTACTAAATTAACTCGTTACATATTAATTTTTGGATTAAAACTTTTTTTAACATGAACGTCATTAGGGATGGACATGAGATCCGAATTAGACGGTTTTACCAGATCTTACCCGACCCAATTGAATCAGATATTTTTAAAAATTCGGGTCGGGTTTTTTATGTGATGTTCGGGTCGAGTTCAGGTTTAGGGTGAAAAATATTAGATGTGACCGACCCAAAAAATATATAATTGTACCTTATATGTTTAAGAATAATTACAATAATATCCCTCTATATATTATTTTTTCAATAAAGTCGTTATTTTTATTGAATAAAAATATTTTTTTTATTATTTCGGGTCTGGTCGGGTGAAAATTTATTTGATCGGATTTGGTCAGGTCTCGGGTGGAGGACTTCTTGTTCTCAGGTCGGGTCAGGTGGACCAAAAACTCGACCCATGTCCATCCCTAAACGTCACACTAAACACATTTCTTAATAGGATGAACCTTTATTTATATAATATAAAGCCAGTCAAAACTTTTAAAAGTTCGGTCAAAATTGAAGGGGAAAACACGATATAAACGATTTCAATAATTAAGAAAATTGTTGTAATTTTTTGAAAATTTAAGTTTGAGTATCATGTATGTCAGGGATACGAGCGTTCGTTATTAAAGGGTTGAAAATCTTTAAACATATACTACCTTATATTCACTTCAGATTTAAGGAACGTCAATCTATTTTAACGTTGAAAAACCGTGATATTGGGACGCAAAATCATAACATTTTAAGTTATATGCAACTTAAAATGTTATATTCTTTCTTAAATTTTTTATTCAACTTAAAATATTACATACTCTGTAATATTTTCAGTAGACAATTAAAAATATTATATTCTTTGTAATATTTTAAGTTTAACCGAAAATATTAAGAATATTATAATATTTTAAGTTAAACCGAAACTAAAATATTATGTTTATTATCATATTTTCAATTATAATGTTCCAAAATTATTATATTTTTAATCTTATATTAAATTGTCGTACGATAGAATCTCCCGATAGTTTTACGTGCCACGTACAAAGTTAACCTTGAACTTTGAGAGGGAGATTTTAGTGGGGTGGATAAAGACAAAAGCTGCCAGCTGTGAAGACAATTACGGATGTCAAATGTTGTCTCAGCCGAAATCGAAAAAACGTGCTATTCACTCATACCACAGATCTTAATCTTTCCCCACGACCTTTCACAAGCGCGTGTCGTCTACTAACGTCTGGTTAAAGGCGGCGACTTGCTGCCTTTGGTTTTAAAGGTTTTGCTCCCCACGCGAGCGTACTGCCAAAACCTGACATGCTCGTTTGTACTGTGTCTGCAGGTAATTTTTGTCGTTAGTCGCCTCGCCACGTCAGATTCCCAACGTTTATCAGAATGTCATCTTTACCCTTACTTTTTAGAGCATTTTAATCCTAAATTTTTTTCGATGAAAATTGTTAGTTAATACAAAATCAATGCTTTAAAATAAGATATTTTTTAATCTAAAATTGAGGGCTAAAATAATTTAGAAAAAGAAGTTAAGTACCAAAATGCTCATTCTATCAAATACTATAGGCCTTTTTACCCTAAAAGAAAATATTAGAAACTAAAATGCTCCGAATAAAAGAATAGAGACTTAAATGACCATTTTAAAAAACATTGAGTAATAATTTTGATATTATGCCAAAGTTAATTAATGCCATTTACGAAGTATTTGGTAAGTTGTTCTCTAAAATAAATTATAAAACTTTGGGTATGTTTGTTTCACTAAAAATAATATCTGGAAAATGAATTACGTTTCTCGGAAAATGAATTACAAAAATTATTTTCGGTGTTTGGATAAAACTATGTAAATCATTTTCCTTTGTTTGGTAACTTTTTCTGAAAATAATTTTTAAAATCTAATTTTCATTAAATAAACAAACTCGCCTTATAAACTTATTAATATTTTATTTTTATTTTTTATTGATTTAATTTTATAATTATAAAATTATCTTTTTAACCAAATCTTGTATATGATTACAATGTTTTTATTAAAGTGAATTAAATTAAAATTAAATATCACTCATTTTTTATAATTATAAATAAAATATGAATAAATTATATTAATGAAGTTATACATTACTAACAAAAAAATGCTAATTTAATCAACATTCCTAAACAATTCTAATAAGACACTTTGTTTTCTTTGAGCATTGCTAATAAATATTCCATAGCACCACTAATCAAAATCTTGAAATGTAAAGAGATCATATTGTTGTTGAACTTTTAGTAAGAATATTTTTATTCTAACTTATTTGTACAACTTAATTCACTTTTTCCTTTCAATTTTTAAAAAGAAGATGTAATATCCTAAATTTTAGACTAGTGACTGGAGTGCAAATTTTGAAAGTTTGGGGACTAAAGTATAAAGTTGTAAAAGTACATGGACTAAAAATATACATTTTTAAAAGTTAAATTTTGGATTTGTAAATTAGTATTTAGTCCAATATAATTATTTTATTGGGTTTTAGAATTTTGGTTTGGAGTTTGTACAAAGGTTTATTAAAGGACAAAGTTCGGTATATTATTTAGATAAACATATCAAATCGGAAGTATACAGGAATTTGAATAAAGGTAGATTTGGCTTGAAAAAATTATATGGGTATTTTTAATTAGTGAAATTTAAGTTGGATGGGTGGAATTTGGTGAGAATTGCACTATAAAGTGAAATAATGCTATTTAGTGACTAAAATGAAATTTTGAGAAATTGGAGGGTCAAAAAGAAAATTTGGGAGCTTAGATTTTTACAGATATTTAATTATATTAAATTAGAGATAATGGAGTGTCACGGTTGTAATTTAGAGGACTCATTAATGGCAATTTGAGTTTTTGGTCCAAAATGAATAAAAAATTATTTTATGGGTTTTAAAAGTAAAAATTAGGGGATTTTTACTTAGAAATTTCGGGATATTTTCTCTCCAAACCTGCCAAATCTCCATAAGCAAAGGTAAGTTTGTTTTTTTATTCCAATTTTTTGGTCCATTTTAATTAGGATTTGGACTAAAGTGTGAAAAATAAAAATAATCTCTATTAAATTCTCTTTCATTTGGTAGTAAAATTTAATGGTTTCATGCTTGTATTGGGGAGTTTTTGAATTTGATGGATGAAGAAAAGATATGAATTCAATGAAATAAGGTTGGATTATGGTGTTAGTGGTGTTGTGGAGCTAGAATCAAGCATGGAAATTGAATAAAAATTATTAGAGGGACTATATAGGGAATTCGACCATATGGAGATTTTATGAACAATGGTTGAATTTGACGTGTTTGATATTAAAATGGTTGAGATTGATTAGAAATGAATGTTGGAGAATGATTTAAGCTTGAAATCAAATTGAAGACCAATAGGTGAAATATTGCAAAGTTTTGACCTAAGGGAGGAAATAGAGGGAAAATTTTGGGAAAATTCCTAATGGTTTAGATTGAATGTATGAATAATTTTAGGTGCTTGAAATGATGTTTGGGGACCAAATTTGGAACTTTGCTAGGCTTTGAGGACATTTTTGCAAGGTTTGATAATTTAAAGAGTTAATGTGCAATATGGAAAAATTGAGGTCCTATGCTGAAATTTTGTGTTAGAATATCAAATTGGACTGATTTGAGTGAGATTAAAAGTTATGAACTTAATTGTAAGTTGAAGGAAATTTGGTGGTGAGTTAGTGAAGTTGTTAGAGAAATTTTACAAAGTCTAAGAAATTTAAAGGGTTTAGATGCAAGTTTTGGAAATTTTGGATACAAGCTGGAAATTTTATTTAAAATATGGGAATATTGAATTTGGATCGAGGTGGAAAGTTTCACAAGATTAAGGGAGGGAAATTAATTTCGAATATATGTAGATTGTTTTTTTATAAAGTTGTTTGAATATAAATGAATATTATATTATTAATTAAAATACTAATTTGTATTCGAAATTATTTATGGTGGGAAATTGATGATATGAAGATCGTGATAAAAAATAAAAATAATTTGAAAAAAAAGGGATTAAGTTTGAGGGTCCAAGAAAGATAGTAAATAAAGTGTAGTGAGGTAAAATGTTAGTGCAATTAACTTTTTATCAAAAGTAATTCGAGGACTTCTTGCGATGAGTCAACATCGGTCGATATAAAAAGAAAATATTTTCAAACCGTATTTTAAATACATACATTTTATTTTTATTGTATTTCATAGCATCTGAATATTTTTTGATACATACTACCCAAAAATTTGACTTTTATGAGAACAATTTTATATTCGATTATCTGAATTGTTTTTATGCAAATTATTAATTGAATTTAAATGAAGCTCATTGTATGATAATGAGGGTTAGTGGTACAATGACATGTCATGAGGTGGAGTGAATATATATATGTTTCAGATTTAACACCAAATGGATCACTCGTGTTTTGACTCGGCATACCTTAGTGGTGCACGACGTTGAATGATTCGATGCAACTGTTTGACACTATACATATATGACATGGCACCAAGATGGGTCACTCGTGCTCTGACTCGGTGTATCTTAGTGATACAGGAGGTGGAGTGACTCAGTGTAATCTGTTATGACAATGAATTTGTATATAACACGCTCACTCGTTATCTGACTCTCATATCATATATTCTCATGAAAAATATTGTGGGTAAAGTAAAATATATGATTTGAATAAAATATGAAAATGATATGATCTGAAATAGAAAAGTACAATTTAGAATGACTCAGTGTAGTGAATTGTCAAATTTTTATAATTTTTTTTTATTTCGAATATTTGATTAGATGTAAACTATATAAATGTTTTATTTTTATGATGTTTATATATGAAATGATTTATTGTATATGTTAATTATTTTAAGTATGTTTTTATGTCGCTTCGTAAAAAACTTAATGTGTGATTGGTTTACACGTAGATAAAGAGAAGTCAGCCAAGTGAGGAGCCATACATGACATTTTACATATTTTGAAAATCAGTTCAGATAGCCAAAAATCAGTATGATATCTTTTTGATGTTTTTGATGTTCCTGAGTTGGCATGTACATATTTATATTTTGGGACTCTGATTCAAATATGTCTAAACTCTTTTTTATCATATGATGAATGAATAGTGTTTATATATATTAAATATTTTTAATGTCGAACTTAAAGGAAACAAAATTTTATCGGTTTTCAGACCGTAAATGTTTTATTCGATTGATGTGATATCTTTAACTCATATACGGGGACGAATATAATTTCAAGCCAACATTGTTATTAACAACATTGATGTAACATTGTTTTTACAGGAGTTTTGAATGCTTTTGAAGCAACAGATGCTGTCCATATGAAGTAAAAAGGCGTGTAAAACAATTTACCGGAAATAAAAGGGTAAGTCATTCTATGGAGAATAGCGTGTTTTTTCAATTGACTAGTAATTTATATTGACTTTATATTTTACTTCAACCAAACTAGGGGTGTAAATGAACCGAGTCGAGTTTGAGTATTGCAGAGCTCGACTCGACTCGAAAACTTTGAAATGAAGCTCGACTCGACTTAAAAACTCGCTAGTTTAAAATTTTCAAGCTCGACTCGAACTCGAAATCCTAAACTGAAGCTCGTGAGCAGCTCGAAAAGGCTCGAAATGAAAAAAGAACTCTTAAACTTAACTCGATTGAAGCCTCAAACTCAAACTCGAACATAAACCTTAAATACAAGAAATCTTACTGTATTTTTTTTATAAAAAAATCAATACATAAATATTAATATTATTAATAATTTATTTCTAAAAAAATAAAATTTTAATATATTATATTTTCGAGTTGTTCACGAGCTTTTCGAGTCAAATATCGAGTAGCTCATTTCGACTCGTTCTCGTTTCGACTCGTTAAGAATTCGAGTCGAGCTCGAGTCGAGTACATTCGATCCGAGTATTTATCGAGCCTTGATCGAGTCAATATCGAGTAGCTCATGATCTGTCTCGTCTCATTTACAACCCTAAACCAAACATTAAAAACATTTTTCGTAAACTTATTTACATGAAACAAACACACCCTTATTTAATTTTGATCATTAAATAAAAATTATTAATTATATCATTTACTTTTAATTTGATTTTATCGATATAAATATTATTATTAGATATACTGTCATTTCAGGGGATGGGTAAATTTTACATTTAATACCTAAATTATTAATTTTGATCCATTTCAATATCTAAACTTTTAATTTTGTCAAAATCATACCTAAAATTCAATTTTTATTTTATTTTAGTTCCCCCATTCTAAATTTAACATTAAATTTTGAACAAAATTGAAAGCTTAAATACTAAAACAAACCAAACTAATAGTTTAAGTACTAAACGCTAATGACAGGATACTAAAATAAAATATAAACTAAACATTAAATATGGTTTTGAAAAAACTGAATGTTTAGATACTAAAACATATCAAAACGGATAGTTTAAGTACTATATGCGTAATTTACCCCAAAAAATTACTAGTATCTACTTCAAATGTAGACAATGGCAAGACAAATTTTCACCAGTTGCTTGAATCTACTGTGTCTGTAAAAAAATTATTAAAACACCGAGAACAAGGGCTCCCGGTTTATATCTCGGATTCGGCGGAGTTTTTCTCCTCTTTCGGGGGTGCAAACTGCCGGCTAAGCCGTGATCTCGTCCATGGATCAAGTGTAGGTCTCGGTGGTGGCGGTGGAGTTGGCGGCTTAGACTGTCTAAGCTCATTTTCCCTGTCAATAAACCTGTTCAAATGTGCAAGAAAAATCATCATTGAAAAAAGATTGTATGCTATAACTTTCGCGAAATAAAAAGAAACACCAAGATTTTACGTGAAGAACCCGAATCGGAAAAAACCACAAGCAGATAAGAAATTCACTAATGAAAGAAAAAGAGCACTGAGAAAAACAACTGTTTATGTATGTTATGCATGCGGTAAAGTATCGATGTTTTTAGGTATGTTATGCATGCATGCGGGAACATATCGACTTTTTGAAGTATGTTGTGCATGTGGGAACGTATCGATGTTTTTAACTATGTTATGCATTCTGGAACGTATCGATGTACTGCTGTTGAACATTTTAATGTTTTTAAGTATGTTAGGCATGCGGTCAAGTATCGATGTTTTTAGGCATGTTATGCATGCGGTAAAGTATCGATGTTTTTAGGCATGTTATGCATGCGGGAACATATCGACCTTTTGAAGTATGTTATGCATGTGGGAACGTATCGATGTTTTTAACTATGTTATGAATTCTGGGACGTACCGATGTTTCTTAGATAACGTTCATAATTTTAGTTTATTTACATGGCACTAAGCTAAAAAAAATGAAACTAGGAAATCGGGCTTAGTGCAATAAGGCCTATGAGATCTAGTAGTCTTACTCGATATAAGCCATCGGTGCAGCATCACCAACTCGTATGCGAGTTCGAAGCAGTCTAGTATATCCACCCGCTCTGTCTCTGTAACACATAGGATTGGATCAATATGACATAACAGTAAAAAAAGGGGCAAAACTGGTGGAGAATTCACTTGTATCGATATGCCAGTTCGGTAAATAGCTTGTGAATAGCATCATCCCCCCGGACAAAAGCAGCAGCACGCCTTGCAGCAGACAGCGAACCCTTTAAGAATTCAAAAAAGGAACAATGCAACGTTGAAAAATCAGAAACGAGACCAAGATATTCTCGGACGACCATAACAACTAAGATAGGTTCTATGAGCCTACCTAGCATTTAAAAACCAGACCAATATCATTAACCACTCACACGTATTCTCATTAATCGTTGATCAATGTAACAACCAAGATATAGGCGACAACTACAACATGACACGTCCAAATTTGCAGAGTTCCGAGAGGCAACTTAAAAACCAACATCAAGCAAACATTGAAATTTCATGCTAATTTACCATTTCCCCATGCTGATGGAAATATTTGGACGTCAACTATATGTAATTCTCGAGAAAGATTCAGGACAAGCAATCCTTGGTGCTTCTGATATTTGAGACTGAAGTTAAACCTAAAATCCTATGAATTACTTCAACAGAGGCAACAAATGGAAACTAGATTTGCTTAAATAATTTCCAAATTGTATATCAAACCCGAAACCGACAAATGCCGCGCCACCATTTGAAAAAACTAATCATATCACCATTAGAAAGGAACAACACTCATTTACAGGCCTGAAAAAACTAATCATATCACCATTAGAAAGGAAGCGCAATTGTGCTATGTTGACTAAAGGGTAAAGTACACCACCAGAGGTCATTTAATTATGCTCAAATGATCATTCTGATAATCAAACTTTCAAAAGTTACAAAATGGTCATTCAATTTATCAAACTTTTGCAACTATCATAACACGGCAATGAACATTTTGTACCAGATTGATTAAAAGTAAAAACAAAATGGTAGAATATATAAACAATAAGCTTGAAATACCTCTTTCCCAAGCTGTACCATGTTATCAGCAAGTCGCCGGACCTCCTTTGCCTGCAATACAATGAGCAACAAAAATTAAATAAATTCAGGTAAAACAAACAAAACCGAGATTCTAATGACAGTAAAGCGAAACCCAACAACAGAAAAAGATCTTACAATCAAAGAAATCAGAAAGATTAATCAAATAAACCTGAAAAGAAAGTAACCTTGGCAACGGTAGTTTCAATGCGCTCGTGCTTCACCAGCTGGGAAACCATTGTTCTGCAATCAAAGATAAAAAAGAGACAAAATGAATAAAAATAAGAGAGAAAATGCAATCAAGTTTTTAAATTCAAAAAGGGAAAGTGAAGAACCTGAGCATGGACATACGATGACCGGTGGGTCGGTTAAGCTTCCTGAATTTCGTCATTTTAGTTGGGAAAATAGGAAGATAGATGGAGAGGAATAGAATGAAGAAAAAGAAAAACCCTAGTAGAAGTAGAAACCTCAAAGATGATGATCCTACTCTTTGTTGAAGATGAATTCGATTTGGATGGGTTATCTGGACACATTGGGCGGTTTTTTTGGCCCAATAGGGCAAAACCATAAAAAAAAATAGTGACATGCGAAAGTTTATTCGGAATCTACAATATTTGCTACAGTGTTCAAGAAACTCGTTACATCAAGGTATTATTTTGGGATTTACGACATTTCAAGAAACTCATCACGTCGAGATAACAATTTCTAACAAAATATAATTTTTTATTAAATTTCATCACATCGGGATAAAATATTTGAATAAAAAATATTTTTATTTAAACTCGTCATCTCAACATTATGAGTTTCGGTCACTATAACAAATATCGTAAATCCCAAAATAAACTTCTATATGTCTTATTGGGTTAAATAATAAACCAATTTGCCCCAGGCGAAAAAAGAACCACATTGGACCTATCCAAAAAAAATCTTAATTATTTGATCCATTATAGGTATATATAAACCATAGTTTCGATCTTTTTTAGTACTTAAACTTTTAATTTTTTTAAATTCATAGTTAAAGTTTAATTTTTGTTTCATTTTAGTATTCATCATTAAAAAAATTTAGTTTTTGTTCAATACCACCATTTAAAATTTAACGTTAAGTTTTTTAAAAAAAAATTAAAGCTTAGGTACTAAACATACCAATACTGATAGTTTAGGTTTTAAACTCGTTAAGTTTTTAAAAGTGAGTTACTAAAATGAAATAAAATTAAACGTCAGGTATGATTTAAAAAATTTAAAAGTTTAAGTACTAATCCAAATGTTATTTGCCAACGGAGTGGTATTATCCAAATGTTAATTGCTATGACCGAAGATTCAATCCATTATCAATACTGCTACATATGATGCATGGCATTTTAGGCTCTAATCAAAAGCTCATATACGTTACTGTTATTATCCCCGCTAACACGCTTCAACATTTCGAAGCTTCGACGACTTCCTAAGAAGTCGATCCGTTTGAAAATCGCATTCCCGCCGCGTTCGGCCGTCTCTTTGCTCGAGTACGCCGCTCGAAGCCACCCGGCATGCCTCGAGTCCGTGTGAATAGCGGCCTCTATCTCATGACCCGACATGTTCTCCTACACAACAGCAGCAATGCATGCAAACAAAGGATTCAATCCATTATGTAATATTTGAACATGTTGTACTAACCATGTGCCAATGGCTCGAGTCATACCAGATAAAAGGTATAGATATAGTCCAAAACCTGCAAACATGTAAAGCCGTTGTCGCTGAAAAATGTCCGTGCAGAAGGTCCCATCTCGGAAAAGCGGTCGACGGGAAATAGTATGGTCAGGAAGTGGTTTTTGAATATCAACTCGTTTTTCTCGCTGCGAATAAGTTGCGGAGCAGATAATCGTAAGACATGAAAACGGTAACCAAATAAATGAGACAAATCTCATAGTAGAGAGAATGAAGACCTTTCTGTAAGAGACCGAGTTGAGTTCGTAAATGAGGCCCCGGAATCCTTGCCATCTCCATTAGCATCAAAGAATTCCGATTGATGCTCACTAGCATCTCCGCCACTACAAGAGTCTGTGAAAATTGAAGCGGTTGAAGTTGGCTCAGATATTGACCAGCAAATCGAATCCAGAAGACTGCTCGGGCTTATCGGCCGAATTGGGATTTGACAAGTCTGAGAAGCAAACAGATGTTCAAGGAAATGCAGTAATTCATAATAATAATAATAATACATTTAAAATCATTCCACTGAAGTCTTCTTTATAGATAAATAAGCATGTTCCATAAACACGATTGTGCTTGAGCGCTCTCACACATATATCTGATGAAGCGGTAATAATTCGTTTGGCTTCTGCAACTCGCGTTGCATGAATGCCGTAAGATAAGACCCCTCCAAGTCCAAGTTTACATGCTATGATATGAAATGTAGGAATAACCGATTGTCAAAAACGGACAACTTAATCGAACTCCGTTTTGAGCTAACCCCGTTAGTACCTTCAAGTTTACTTCCAGAACAAGGAATGGTTTCAAATGGCCGAAGCTCTTATCGGACGAGTTAAGCCGACATTAGAATGAAACCCAAAGGGCATATACATGATTAATCACTTACCTGCATTCGACGATTGCGACGATTTCTAACCCCGGTTTTGGCTAAATGTACAATCTGCTTCCTTTCTTCATGGCTTGCATTAGTTCTGAAGCTCGGAGTATCTTGAGAGAAGTTAACCGCATTATTTTCCTATTAAAACAACAGATAAGCATAAAACTAAGCTGAATGTATTTAGCAGAAACTGATGAGTTGACATGGAAAAGGTCCAATACTCAATCGCTTAAGGAGAAAAAATCAGTTTCCGAATCCATGCAAGAATGAGCTTATGAATAGGAGAATTTATCATAGATAAATCATCAATCATTGCTAAACTATAATCTTCCGTTCATCCATCTACCTCCGAATTTGTTTCTAATGATCGAATCCATTTTGATCTTTCTGATCCAATTATTCATTCTTGATCCTATTCAGCATCACAGGAAAGGAATACCATGGATGCTTTGATATTGTGAAATCTATTTTCTTAAATGAGTTTTCAAGTGCCATAAGAATAAAACAGTACCTCTCCTGCAGTGCCATTCCGAGAAGTTTCGAGAAACGTTCCAATCTGCCTAGCCAAATCGGCAGACATGTGAACAAGTCTCGGCACAAATCGATCCTTCGATGTTTTCAGGACCCACAACGGCTGAGACATATTAAATATCAAATCAGTTTAAGTATAACAAAGCATAGATTATTCTTATAAGTTGTCACGCATGATTGCATTTTGTTGGTGATGACCACGGCAAAACAGGGAGAAACGAAAACAATGTAAGAATCAAACCCATCATGATGATCGCACAAAATGCAATGCAGAAGAACTCACTGTAACAATGTTGTTAGAATGGCCGATATATCGATGGATAGAATTCCGTTCACACACTACATGACTTGCACTACAACCGACAAACCATCGATCTACAACTGTGGCCCCTTCTTTAGATGCTGCCTCAAGAACCTATCAAAGTGTTAAATCTCTCAAGGAGTTGCTAAAAGCAGGCATTTGAGCATAAGTAAAATGATGAGTTAATTACTACAGTTACATTTGAGCATAAGCAATATGTGAGATGTTACCTTATTCCGTAGCTCATCTGAAATATCGGAATCTATATACAGGGTATGACCAGACAGCATCGAGTACATACTATTTTTCGGGTCACTTCTAGAAAATCTTGCATGTTGTTTTTCTACCATGTCAATCTTCTTAGCATCATGAAAACCGGAAGGAAGACATGAACTTTCCGAAGCAGTAGGCACAAGCCGGTTCAACTCATCTACGCGTGTGCCATGATCTCCAACACCCTTCACAGTATAGAGTGATTCACTTAACCTTACTGCAGTAAATGCAAAAAGAAAAGGTGATTCACTTACCTTTCTCAAAGCGCCTTAACTAACAAAGATGAACACTCTTCTGTCTTTATCAAAATTAAGAGAGAAAAAAGTCAGTTGGGGATTGCGATTAAGAGTTCGAAAACCGTCACTTAACAATAACCGGATGCTTCATAGACGACCATATCAGTAAAGCATATAACATTGTATTTCTGTAGCTGGTAGCATAAGGTATCATATTCTTATTTCTAACTCTAGGGAAGCATGAACGACGAACACAAACATATCACAATGGGGAACCATGAATCAAGAAGTATCCTAAACTTACCATTCATCTTGACGCTGTCCACAAACCATCCAAGTGTAACGACGAACAGGCTGTTTCTCGATCCGTGTTTAAGAGCATGATCAAACTTACGTCCGCTAAAGCTGTAACTAAGATTAAGGTCAACAGAACTATTGCACCAGTAGAAACAATACACATACATCCTATATGAAATGTTACCATCATCATCATAAACATACTATTTGTTATACCTCCGGAGATACTCCTCCGCGAGCAGCAACCCCTCCGTCTATCAAAGCCTCCGGAGAAACCTATGACGAGGCCTCCGAGATCATCCTCACCATAAACCCTTGACAAGACCATTCGTCTTCTTCACCACTCTTCTTGGGCTTAATACCCTCCAAACTCTCTCTCTTCGAGCCAGACTCATTTAAGACCCGTAGCTCTCCAAAAAAAAAACCGACTATGACTCTCCGCCCAAATCAAAAGGAATAAACCGCGTACCACCACCTCCTACAGCCCCATAACCTCACACTTTACAATCAACACTATTCATCCTAACTTTGTCAAACATACCAAATCTAATCTCACCAGCAGACTCAATCCAAAAAAAAAAACTAATGGTGAAAGGGCATCCATGTCATGTAAACGGCTCCATCAACTTCAAGAATCAACAATTTAGACTTTTGAGATACAAGAAATAGAAAGAAAAATTCAACACAATCCAAACATAAGACTTTTCAACCAATTCTTTAGCCAAGTTTCAGGTGATGCCAAAATTTAAAGCAATTTAAAAAAAAGAAATAAAAAAGGATATTTGAACCACCAGATGGGTACATTGAGGATGCAAGCTTGCACTATATTGACCACCTAATCTCTCAGTTGCTTCCATAACTTGTTTCCTTGCTTCTGAACAAATCAAAAACAAACCCAAAATTTTAACATATAATATAGGGAAAAAAAGCTAGGTTAAATCAAAATTGAAGTTCCCAGATTCAATTACACTCAAACAACAGTGCACTGTAAAAATTACCCAGACTGATTAAACAAGACGACCAACCTTTGGACAAGCCAGTGACGCAAATGACCAGACCGGAGAATGGACCGATAGATCGAACCGGCACCGGTTCCGGTTCATGGCCGAGAGAAGCAGCAGCAACAGGGGACAGGGACATTGGTTCGAACGCCTGGGAATTTGTATTTGCTGATGGCGCTGAAGAAGAGAACCCAACGAACAAATTTGAACAGCCTCTGCTATTTACCACTTCCACCCTGCTAAGACCACCCACGCTTTCCTCTCATTCATGTCGAAATTCCAAGCGAGATTCAAACGTTAAAAAGAAGGAAAACGAAGAGAGTAAAATGAATTTGAAGGATGCCCAAAGAAAGAGAAGACTTTATATATATATATATATATCTATATATATATATCGAAAAACAAGGTGAATAAAATAAGAACAATGGCAGGAAATTGAAGGGAAATGGGAATCGGAGATTGAAGACGGACCCAGGATTGTAATAATTCAACTTTCAAAATTTATATAATAATGAAGAAACTTGATATTTTAAAGATTTAAGAAATTTAATGATTGTTTTGTACTTTACCCTAATTTATTAGTGTTGTTTTGAACACTGGTCACTTCGAAGCTTGCAGTCGAAAAAGGCCAGCCATTTTAGGTCATATTATTGGATTAGACCCTGTACCATGCTTATATTTGTGAAATTAATTCATGTACTGTAATTAAGTTATTTTTAGTCTAGTATTTTCACATGTTTGGTTATTAAATTATTAGTTTTGGTCTATTATAGTGCATAAGCTTCCCTTTTTTTTTCAAAAATCATACTTAAAATTTATTTTTTATTTCATTTTAGTATCCATTCTAAATTTAACATTAAGTATTAAAAAAGTGAAGTTTAGGTACTAAAACAGATCAAAACTGATAGTTTAGGTACTAAGCATGTGAAGTTTTTAATTGTGGGTACTAAAATGAAAAAAAACTAAATATTATGTATGATTTTGAAAAAAACTAAAAGTTTAGATACTAAAATAGATCAAAACTAATAATTTAGGTACTAAATACATAGTTTACCCTTAGTTTTTGTTGTCACGCGACTAATGAAGTTCTTCTATCCACAGTCTCAGAAGCCCATTTTGAATCGAATTTCCAATTCCATTCATTTATTGAAGGACTAAATGGTATATGAACTTCGTTTCAAGATTCAATTTAGTACTTAAGTTCTTTTATCCAAATTGGTACTTGATCTTTGTCTCAATGTTAAATTAATACTTTAACTTTTATTTTGATCCAATTAGAAACGTGAACTTCATTTTCTGGTTTAAATAGGTGTCTCAACTTGACTTCATATTTCAAATACATCATTCATTATAAGTAACATTTTGAAAAGAAAAACAAATTGATGTACCAATTCGAGTCAAGAAATCAAGTTAAAATACTTAATTTGAATTATAGAAAATTGGAAAAAAATACATCAAAGGCCTATGTACTCTTTAAAAAAATTCAGTGTGGTCCTTGTATTATTTTTTTTCAATGTGACGCTTCAACTCAGAAAACACAAACCCAATGTGACATTTTAACCAACGTTTTTTGGCGTTGACCATTTTAGTGCTGATGTGACTGCCACATCACCACTGTGAACTGTTATGTCAGCATTGTAACGGTTAACGACGAAAAACGTTGGTCAAAGAATCACATTACGTTTGTTTTCAAGTTGGAGGACCACATTGAGAAAAAAACAATACAATGGTCACATTGATTTTTTAAAAAAAGTTCAGGGCCTTTGATGACTTTTTGCCTAAAAATTTTACGTGCCAATTAAACCTTAAAATCAAATTTAAAATATATTTTTATTAAGCTAAGATGATTACAAAATAATATCTATTTTAAACACTCTTAACGATTCGATAATAAACATGTTTTATTCACGGATGCAAGCCATTTAAGGGTTTATATATATATATATATATATATAATTTTAGCTCTATTTGTCTTTCGCTACTAGTTTAATTACTCTGCTATAGTTACTAGTATTTAAACTTAAAATTTTTAAGAATAATAATAATTTCTTTAATTATCGAATCGAGTCGAATAAAAAAAAATTAGTTATTCGAGTTGACGAGTCCTATTTCACAACTCGGACTTGATATGAAATTTTTTCGAGTCGGATTTATAAAGTTCGAGTAAAGTTGATTTTTTGAGTTTTTATTTAAATTTAATTTTAAATATTTATAATATTATTTTATTCTAATTGAAGTGAATTTCTATAACCATATATACAATACAAATATATTTATTCATTTTTTTCCGTATATGATATACATATGTCATACAAAGTCCAAGGACTTGACTCAAACTTGAAAATAAATCCACTAATTAGTAAAAATTTTGAGTTATTCGAGCTGCATTTTACAACTCAATTTGAATTTGAATTTTTTTAATCGAGTCGAGTTTATGGAATTGCAACTTGAGTCAATTCGAATCGGAAAATTTAGTTTTTAGAATCGAGTTGAGTTTTGCTCACCCCGATGTATGAAGGCTCATTATGGGGGTAACCCTCCCAATCCATATTGTTCCATACACAAAACGCTAGGATTTGAACTCCTATCCTTACTTAAATCTAATATCTCATCGCACTAGATTAATTGGTTTTTCTTTGTTTTATTTAATGTACTTCAATACTACTAATAGATTAGATTAAGAAGTTGAATTTGGGGTGGTTAGGCTACACGGTTTATAGGGGTGACCCATCCCTAGAAAAATGCCAGTAGAGAGAGCTTTTGTAATAGAATAAACTACACAAATGGTCATTAATATTTGAGTAAGTTTTTGTTTTCCCCACTAAAATTATAAAAGTAAGAAATTGATCATTAACGTTATTGATTTGTAACAAAATGATCATTTTATCATTATTTCCGTTAAATTGATGACTTGGCGACGCTACTGAAATGGTTGATATTTAATTTCACCCCTAAATTACTACAATATAAAATTACTCTTCAATGACTTATTCGATGTTTTAGTAGTAGTTTAGGGGTAAATTTTAAACATTTTATTAACATTTTCATGTCATCAATTTAACGGAGATGATATTAGAGTGATCATTTTGTTACAAATCAATAATTTTAGTGACCAATTTACTTTTGAAACTTTGGTGGGGGAAATTAAAATATATTCAAAATATTAATGACCATTTGTATAATTTACCCTTTATAATATTAGGAAATCGGAGTGATTCAGACGGTACATTGACATTGGTGATGGATTCACCAGAGTGAACACATAAATTATTATTATTTTAGATAATTATCTATTTATTTAGTTACGTCCACCTCATATAAAAATTTTATGTTATTAATATTTATTAGTGACAACATTTGTAGTGTTTAGAATTTTTTTATCAAGTTAAATTTACAAATATATATATATCTTCCGTCTGAATTTGAACTGAACCGAAAATTATACATCTTCTACCTAAATCTGACTTAATCAAAAAATATATCATTCAACAGAATTCGATCTGATCCGATCTAACCTAAATATAAAATAAGAATTTAGTTAATAAATAATAGATAAATGGGTATTATAGTAATTATCCATAAATTAATTTGAAAAAAAGTACACATTTACCTTTGGGTTAGATCAGATCAGGTCAGAGTTTTTTGACACTCCACCCGAACTAACCTCACTCATTTAAAAAAATCGAGCCGAACTCTTTTTTTTTATTAAAAATATAACCTTATTGAATCAGATAAAATCAAAATCTATCAATTTCAGATTAAATTATCATTCCTAATTAACACCAACTATGTATTAATAATATCGATTCACAGTAAGCCTTAAACTCTTCATTAAACTGGATCAACATTTAATGACGTTCCATTCGTTTTGAATTTATATTAAATTTTAGGATAAAGTTTCATTTTGACTTGTCATGGTCTCATACGAATAAATAATTTTTTTTGACAAAATAGAGAAATTATATATACATTATTGTAATTATTTCTAAATATATAAATATGATTCCGACTTTTTATTTCACAAAAGTCACTATGACTCAACCCAAATATGATTTATTTCAAAATAACCCTACATGGTTGAATATAAATTATAATCAAAACTCTTCGCTTAGGTATTTTTTTCATCCTTATTGATCGATGGCGACATTAACTTTAATGTTAGTTGTCGACCGTCGGTATTCTTTATTGTCTTTTTCTTTTCTATATCGTATCTTTATTATTTTTTTCAATAAATTTAATTGTTGCATTTTTCATCTATCTTTATGACACGTGTTCTTATGTTTTTTTGACATATTTTTCGATTCTTTGATCTTTTTTTTTTTGTTTTTTTTCTAAGGATTGATTTGACATCGCCACGACTGATCAAGATTGCGCTTATCTGATATCTTGTTGATCTGCCTTGCTTTAGACCCTCAGGTTGGATTTGGACACTCGATTTGCGTTAATGGATAGTTTTTCATGCCGCTCGAGTCTGATTTGTGATTTGTCGGTGTTCTTTCAATAGTTTGATCTCCTTTTGTAGTTTATTTGCCAATGCGATCAGATCTGTTTGTATTTATCTTTATTCGAGTTTCTTGGTTAGATTTACTTTTTCCTTGTATAATCCTTATGTGATCTTAAATTGTTAATTTTATTTCAATGATTATATGAAATTTTCCTAATTACGTGCTTAATTTACGATAATAATTATAAATTTTTTATTGTAATTTGAGATATTTTTTATTTTGAATAAAATTAATTGTTTCTATTAAAAAAACTATCCATTAAAACCCAAAAAACAATAATCGGTTTATTTGGGGTCTATAAACAGAAATAAACGGACCAATACCAATTACATGTAAAGGCCAAACTCCCTTCGATATTTTACATCAAGTGTTTTAATTATAATTTAATTTGTTTAATCGTTATAATATTTGACTAACTAAGGTAATTTTATATATTTTTATTTAATTTATAATATTTTTATAATAATCAACTTATTAGAATAAAGTATCTACTTAAAAATTTTATAACTCAATTAACAATCTGAAACGACTGTACATATAGAGTGTGAGGGTATAGGAATGGCAACCGGGCGGTTAGGGCGGGTTTTGCTCGCCCTGTCCCTGAACCCAAAATGAATTTTCATTCTCGACCCCGACCCGATTCCCGTCGGATTTTTTATCGGGGCGTCTCCGTCGGGGATTTTTTTTGCCCCGTCCCCGAACTCGACCCGAAATATTATACTCAAACTCGAACCTGAAAATATTATATATATAATTAATATATAAATATAAAAT